CCACACACACACTCATCCTTTGATGTGGGTTTTGAAGGCATGTTCTGTGTCGTTCCACCATGGGGTATAATCTTTCCCTCTTGCATTTGGGACACATCTGTGGTCATCAAGAGGAAAAACTGAAATATCGGAATAGGAAGCTGCACTTCCAGACAAGATCTGCCAGCTTCCACTTTGAACCACTCTCCTTCCCTACAAATATTTCCTTTCATGGCTCAGAGGAAGCTCCAAGGCCAAGGCTAGCAGGGGAGAGCACTTCTACAGCAGTGGTCCTCGACTTCCATGTGCAACAGAACTCAGATCTCTCCACCTTACTCCCAGGGATGCAGAATTAGTGGGTTTGAGGCGGAGCCCAGGAATCGCCCATTAAATGTGGTAATCTCAGGAGGCCGTGGCAGGAGGCCTTTGGACCACACTTGGCGAGCCCCAGCTCCCTCCTCCCTGGTGAGCATCGGTGTTCACACAAACCTCTTGCTCTGGACTCCTGCTTGCTCTTCCCATGGGGTTAAAATGGGCCACCTGATTAATGGTAACCATTTCCATCCATCCACCCTGAGGGAGGGGATCATTATTGTTCTGTTTTTTTTCTCTTTTCTTTTCCTCCTGGGTGGGGGTGGAGGTGGGAGATATCAAATACTTCACTTTATATTTTCTTACAAGCCCAGGAGCACAGGCCCCCTTTGGAGATGGTGCGCGCTGTAATGAGACATTCACTTCCAAAGGCTTCCGTCTTCCCACTCCCCCCACGCCTGGAGGGAGATTCTGCTAGGGATTTTGGATCAGTCTGGGAAATTTGAAGTAGTTATGCCCCTGTGGGATACCCCCATCCCTCAAAACCTAAGTTAAGGAACATTAAGGAAGTTGAGATCAAAAGATAAAATGTCTCAAGAATCCATTTCTAGGACAATTCAGTCCTGCTTCACTTAAACAACTCCTTTTTGTGGGTGTATCTTGGTAGTGAAAGCTCACTGACAAATTTTATTTGAATTCCTCACATTCTTGACCCCCAATATGTTTCTGGCTCCTATTAAAATAACCCCTTAGTATTTTCTTGATGACAATCTGTGCAAAGAAGTGGCCCCTAATTTGCTCGCTGACTTGTTCCATGCTGCAGTCCCAGTGTCCATCGCCCTGTGCGGCTTAGGGATCATTACGTATTTCCTTAATGAAGAACGGAACCATCTCGCTGTCAAGCTGATGAAATGTTCCAATAGCTTTCTGTCTCGGGCTACGGAATCACAAATGCCTCTTCCACACACTGGGCCGGACCACCTTCCTACCTAGTTCTGCTCAGTGGGATACAGCTGAGGACGCATGTGTGGGTTTTAGGAGAGCCCCGAGAGGAGAGTTAGGATGTGGCTTGGAGTCCACGGAAGGTCAGAGCCAACACCCCCTACCATGGTGCTGACACCCTGTCCTCTTTCTCCAGGGCTCTCAGCGCCTGGCCCAGAGTACTCTGGCGGTAGAATCCCTGGTGTCCAGAGCAGGAGGAGGTGCCACCTGGAAAAACTGGGGGAGGGAGCCAGAGGAGGTGAAGAAGCCAGTAAGAGGAGGCATGACCATCCGGTGAGGCTGATTTCTAGGGCGATGGCCAGACTCTTTTCTCCATTTCTGAGACTTCAGCTTTGAGGTCACACGTGGACACTAGGTAGGAGGTCACCATCTGGGAGGAAGTCTTGGGAAGCAACCACAGATGTGGGGTGGGGCTGCGAGATAGAGAAAGGGTGAAACTAGGGCTCCTAACACAGCTGAGGAAAAAAAGGAGAAAACAAAAGCACAAATGCCCTGGTTTTTTGTTTTGTGTTGTTTTCATTTATGCTAGGGCAAAACCACCATGGAGATGTCAGGGAGGAGCATGCACAGGCCTCTTGGGAGTGTAGATGTGTTTGGGGACGTTCCTATTGGCTTCCAGGTCCATCCCACACGCTGTCCAGTCGGACCCCATTGTAGGGCTGGCCATGGCTTTCTCTCTCCTGCTGCGTGGTCTCCTCCAGGTTGAGGGTTTGCAGGACCTTCCGCCTAGCAGGTGGTGGCCAGGGACTGGTGGATGGGTGGCTGGAAGCAGCGCACGTGCTCCACGGTGGAACTGTCTGTCTCCACGGACTTCATGTACTTGTTCAGGATGGCAAAAACCTCATTGTTCAAGATCTGGTACTTCCTGATCCTGTCTGCCATTTTTTTCAGCGGCTGCAAAGGACAGGGCCATTCAGGTTAGGGGTGCGAGGAGGAGATAGAGAAATAAAGGATGAGCAAGAAAAAAATTCAGCGAACTTGGGGTCTAGGGTCCTGATGCCTCAATGATGCCATCACTCTCTTGCTTAAAGGTTTCTATGGGTTCCCAGAGCTTGTAATCAAATGTTAACTTGGCCATAAAACACCTTGTGAGTTTCAAAGCTTACTACAAAGTAGAGTGGCACTGGCATGAAGGCAGACATAGAGATCAATGGAATGGATAGCCCAGAAATAAATTCTTCCATATAAGATCAAATGATTTCTGACAAGGGTGCCAAGATCATTCAATGGAGAACGGGTAGTCTTTTCAACAAATGGTGCTTGGAAAACTGAATATCCACATGCAAATGAATGAAATTGGATCCTTGCCTTATACCATATACAAATAATTAGCTCAAAATGGATCGAAGGTCTACATAAGAACTAAAACTTAAAAACTCTTAGAAGATAAGGTAGAGAAAAAAATTTGTGACATTGAATTTGGCAATGATTTCTTGGATGTGACACCAAAAGCACAGGTAATAAAAGAAAAAAATAAACTGGACTACATTAAAAAGCTTGTCTGAGTCAAACGACATTACCAGCTGTGTGAGAGGGCAATCCATGGAATGGGAGAAAATACTTGTAAATCACATACCTGATAAAGGATTACTATCCAGAATATATAAAGAACTCTTACAATTCAATAACAACAACAAAACAAGTAAAAAGTGAACAAAAGACTAGAATGGACTAGTCTATTCTTCTAGAATAGACTAGAAGAAGATAACAAATAGCCAATAAGAACATAAAAAAAGATGCTCACATCACTAATCATTAAGGAAATGAGAGTCAAATCACAATGGGATGCCTCTTCACACTCATTAGGATGGCTATCACCAAAAAGTCCAGAAAATAACAAATGCTGGGGAGGATGCGAAGAAATTGGAACCCTTGTGCCTTACTGGGAATGTAAAAGGGTGCAGGTCTATGGAGAACAGCATGGTGGTTCTTCAAAAATTCAAATAGAAGTCCCATGTGACCCAGCAATTTCACCTTTGGTATATACCCCAAATAAATGAGAGCAGGAACCTGAACAGTTATCTGTACACTCATAATCACAATAGCATTTTCTACAACAGCCAAAAGGTGGAAGCAATTCAAATGTTTACCAACAGATGAACTGATAAATTAACTGTGGTGTATTCAGCCTCAA